TTTGAACGTTTAGAAATATATTTTTACCCTTCTCAAGCTAAGCCTATTTTTCCGTTTTATATCATGACCACCTCTTTTGTTCAAATCTATTCTAAGCTCATACGATTCGTTTTAATCTTGTTTATTGGATGAATTCACATAAAAAGTTGTTTTCAAAATTTAATTTCAATGCACGAGTTACTCCTTTCCGAATCAATGGTAAACTAAATTTTTCTGGTGGACATCAAACATTCATCATTTCTGTCTTCTATATAAGCATTTTATCCAATTCAAGACAAACAAAATTGATCCTCAAAAGCTTCAGTACAGTTGGCTGGTGTAACACTTTCCAGTAAGTTCCAGAATGGAAACAGTTCTTGGAATTTTCGTTACAAGATTAGAGATCACGTGACTCCGAGCAATAATTTTTGTCTGGGTTTGGTTTTTGTTGTTGTTGTACAGGACCTAAAACACGTTACCTTTGGCAAGTAATTCAGTAAGAAAAACGTAGTTCTGCCCGACAAACGTGAACAAAGGAATTTGGTAAGTAAGTTACACAACTACAATATATATATATATATATATACACACACACTAAACTTACATAACAGATATTTGCATGAAAACTGAAACATATACAAGTTGAGAAATCCTATCTCAAAGAATTAATAGGAAATGACGTAGGTTTTTATACTTCACGACAGGTGGCGTAGTGGTTATCATATTGCAGACTGGAGTGTAAACATTAATGAAACTATTTAATTGGTTGTCGTTCTTCTTCTTTAACTAGTAGTTATCAAAAACTTCAAGGTTTAAGCTAAGATATGTCTTTTCTTTTTTAGTTTGGGAGACGTTATAACCGTGAAAGTTAATTGTTCTGGTCATACCCCCCCCCCCAGTAACATTCCTTTCCAGCTATTCCTTTAAGATTGTTTGTTTTGGATAATTATGCAAAAAATACGCTAGTCGTTTCTAATTTAAAACTGGTAGACTAAAGAGAAATCAACTAGCTGATTAACTCCAAGATTAATCTATTCGAATAGTGGGATTTGACTGTCACTTATATAACGCACTCATGGCCCCAAAGTGCGGAGACCGATATTGAGTCCTGCTGACTAGTTGCCCTCCCTCTGGTCACCCCCCCCCCAGTGGCTCAGCGTTA